GAGCTCCGGTGTGGAGGGGGGAGGTGTGGCTGGTTGGGTTTCTGGTGCGGGGGGCGGCGGCTCGGGGATTGGTGGCGTTGCAGGCCTGTCTATCACGGGCATGAACTCAGTACTCGGGGGAGGCGGGGCTTGAGGCGGTCTCCTATAATCCACTTCCCGTTGTACAGGCTGGTGGAAGGAGGGCTCTGTGTGAGGGTACAATGGGGGAATTGGAGGTTGATAAGGAGAGAAAGCATTCTTGAAATTTGCATTGGCTGGTGGTGGAGGCGTGTGCGCAAAAGCAGGTGACGGCGGCTCCGGGGGCTGATGTTGCTTAAAACTGGCCGGTTGCTCTGCGTTACCACGATGCACCCCTCCTCCTGTGCCGTGGACATAATGCCTCTCCGGTCTTCGGTTGTAGGCATCCTGGAATTTGGTTTCATGCCGTCTCGACTTGTAGCCTCCCGAGGATTCAGCACGGTTCGACTGGAACGCCGGAGTGCCTTGCCTGCTGGAGTAGCTGGAGTCCTGAGAGAACGGGGTGCCTGATGGGCGCGGGGTGTGCGGGGTACCCTGGGACTGGGGCGTATCCTGCCTTAGGCTGGAGTAGGCCGTATCCAGGGACATGGGCGTGTTGGTGCCGCCCGGTGTGGCCGTGCCTCCGACTGCAGAAGAACTGCCTTCGGACAGTCTTCGCAAGGGCTGTGGACACAAAATCACAACCAACTTAAACACATTTCCGAATATCACAATGCAAACTTTCTGTAAACAAAATCACTTGTTTGGCCTTTTCTAATGGCATTAACAATCAACACACTAATCAAATACATTGTATAAACATTAGTTAACGGCACTCTGTTTTCAAATGGCTTCACTGTGTGATAATGGCCATAACTGAGGGGGGACCGTTCAAAGTGCATGTTGTAATAGCGTGCAGCTCTCTGCTGGTAGCGGTTATTATGTGCATTTCAGTCTGTGTCCATTTAACCACCTGCTGAACTGATAAACTGGATTAGAGATAAAGATGTTTCTGCTGGAGAGACAGCATGTTATACAGTGTGCTGATGTAAAATACCTTTTGTACTAAAATTATGTGTTAACTAATAGATTCAGACATTTAAATGCATTTACTTGTCATGATAAAAAAAAAAAAATCTCAATACTCCACATTACATTATTAATCATACAAGTTATTGAATAAATAAAAAAAATACAGAAAAAATTAGAGTAACTTTTATGTGCAGAGTTTCCCTCTATTCAACAGATGAGGAAAAACTACAATTCATCTTAAATCAATTTAAATTTTAAATCATTAATTTGTCCTACGGAGTAATAAACTATGATGTTCAGAAATACATAATATGAGCATTTGTAGTAAAAAAAATATATATAAATAAATAAATAAACTTTTGTTTTTGTTCTGAATCATTTAATTGTTTGAGAACCAGTCTGAACAAACCAATCTGATAAAATGAATCCAGCTGCCCAAAGCTACTTTGATAATGGCTCTCTTCATGCAGCTGTAAAAAGAACTGTCTTTTAACTTTCTGTTTTGTAGTACAATCTTAAGCGTTCGGATTCTTTCTTTAATTAATGTCACATGTAATGGCATAATCTGGTTTAGTTTTTACCAGCAGGGCTTCAGCCAAGCTGCGTGGAGAAACTTCACAGGCCTCTTCACCACCAACTGGAAGAGTGAGCGGAGTATAACTTCCATTGATCAGACGCTGGAAGTACCTTAGGCGATTTTCACCTGAACAGATGGATGAGAACACACAATTCTTTGGTGAACATGATTAATGAAACACAATGTGGGCTACATCAAAGCGAAGTACTCATGTTATAACTATTTGTTGCATTACAATCTAAGAAAGAAAGGTCTTATATTGTCCAACATAAATTTTCCATTTCAATTTGTTACATTTTCATTTGTCAAATCACCTTTATTTGTATAGCGCTTTATACAATACTGATTGTGTCAAAGCAGCTATACAGTGTCAAACAGGAAAATAGTGTCAATAATGCAAGAAGACAATAAAAATTTTCCCAGATATTCCCAGAAGTCATTTTCCCAGATATTGATGATTCATTGAGTTGTTTATATTATGTTTTAGTTGTTGTCACAAAAACATAACAGAAAAAAATAATTTCAGTGTCAATATTAATAGAAATGTGCTTTGGCCAAATACTATTGGCAAGTAATCTCACATGAAAATAAAGTTACTAAAACAAGTCAAGTGTAAAATGTTACATTTTGTATGTTAAAATTGTGAAACATATTTTAACATCTATATATATATATATAATATTATATACATAAACATCATCTATATATACACCTCAAATAAGAAAATGACAGTATAATGCATGAAATTCATGCGCTTTGCATTCAAGTCACTGACGAGAACAGATGAAACGGTACTGTCTCTTTAAGAGAGGGGAGACCCACTACAGCTGTCATCCTGCCTTGAGGATCTCACTTTTACAAAGGTTAATGACGGTTTAGTGTGCTTGTCCTTCAATAAATAGTCTAACTTAAGGGTTTAACATTACCAATATTTTAATTTGTACAACAATTACGCTTTAGTCGTGGTTAACCACCTCCTATATTTTTAAACATACATTTTTCATCTCAATACCTGCAAACATATTTTAGAGGTCAAACAATTTTGCTTTAAACTATAGCTAAATATCTAACTAATAGTTAAAATGCTTCAGTTTCACGGAAAACGTCAAAGCAAACACATCAGTTAATCCCTCATCCTATGACTTGTCGTTTAGTGGTTACCAAGCAACCAACATACATTTTCGCACGTGACTTCATGTCACAAACAATCTATTCAAATATACAAACACATGCGGTATTTTAGTGTAACTCGGTCAGACGACATTCCTCATTTAATATTAAAGCTATAAATGTCCAGTTTAGTATTTTAACACATAATTCATCCTTACCTTTAGGGTCCAACTCCACGTGGATGATGTTGCCCATGACAGACGTGTTGTTCAAGTTCTGGACAGCATCCTTCGCCGCCTTGACTGTCCCGAATACAACTTTAGCAATTCCGAGATGTTTTTTGTTCTTCGGATTGTACAGTATTTCCACCTCCTCGATTTCGCCGAACTTCTTGCACATGTCGGTGAGGAATCCCTCTCTGACGTTGTCGTTGAGCTTGGCGAACGTGACCTCCTTCGGGGGCACGCGACCGATGTAACACTCATCGATCTGAGGAAAAGCGAAACGATTCTTTGAAACAGAACGTTTGTTTGACGTTACTTCAAAACGGACCGACCGTTATCTGCTGCCCTGTTTGAACTGTTTGCACGTGCCTCTAGTATAGCTGAAAACAGAACGTTAAATCACTTGTTTTTGAATTCAAAAGCAAGCAATACGTTAGATGTATATGAAGCGTTGTGTGAACGTCAAACGTCCTGCACATGTGTCAAGGGGGTGTGACTGAACTACCTTAAATTTAGGAACTGGGAGATCAGTCTCCTTGTACTTAGTCCACAGACGACCGATTCTCGGGTCTCGGACGATGTCCACGGGTGGCATTCCGGGGTTCTGCAAACAAAACAAGCACATTTATAAACACTTTACGCGAGGGAGTGTACTTTACACAGCCAGCACACTCAACCCGGGCATGTCACTGTCACCAGAACTGATGCGGTACAACGAGAGCTCGTCTCTCACTAGTTTAGTTTTCAAACGAGTGGTCAGTCGTGAAAGTTTAACAACGGTGAAACTCTTTGATGTGCTGTGTCAGGTGTTTACAACGCGAGTGTGTTATATCCACTCGATACGCGGGTCGATGAGTCCGGTTCTGGCCGTTGTAACGGCTCGTTTCGCTCACCGGCACGCTGAAGTTCTGTCCATCGTAGCGATACACTTTGTGCGATCCCTTTTTCAACGCTGGGTCAATAATCAACTTGTAACTTCTCCAATGACTTCGTCTCTCTCCCGAACTGCAGATAGGATGGCTGTTCTCCATTCCGTTCGCCAAACCTAACGACGAGATGACAAAAACAGAAAGTACGCTTCATAATCCTGACATGGCAAAGGTTGATTTTTGCACACAAAACAGTACATTGTAGAAAATGGGGGGGTTTGAAGCGGTGCCCGAAACAGACATTACAGAGGAAGAAAAAAAAAGAGAAAGCTTACTTGAACTCTGTCTTCTACCGTGATCTTCATTTAGCTTATTTCTTTCTCCAGGTCTGGACATTTTGTGCCCGATCGAGTAGTTGTATATAAAACGGCTAGATCTTGAACCTTTCGCCGATCACATTACATGATTTTAAAGATACTGCCTCCTTTTTGCGAGCCAACACATATTGTGTGCCTCTAGTCTGGGGTTTCTGTCTCTCCCACAACACACCACTATCGCAACCTTCCGGCACATTCGACACGCACTTTCGATTTATTGTTTTTAATTGTTACGCTAAAGCAGAATTTTGTGTGACCGTCAAAAACACGTACAAGTCTGGTTATGTGCGATAAACGAGTAGGAAGTGAACATATCTTGAATTTCGAGCAGAAAACCAACGTTTCGAACGCGTTGAATCTGCACGATAGCTTTACATGGACGTTAAATACAAGATGGACATGGAGGAGCAACGCTGGGGAAGGTTGTTAAAACTGAATTGGGACACGCGCCGAAAGCCCAAATGATTTGGTTTAGAAACGTTCTGCGTTTCTGTTTTAATTTAAACATTTATTCCTGAATATTTTTTTTGTCTTGCATTCAGAAAGTGTCAGTAAAATGAACTTTCACGAGGGTCCACCTTATGTAAACAAAAAAATAAAAGTGGTGATTTTTGTGTTTAAACGTCTAATGTTTTGTACTAACACTAGTTGTGATACATTTCTCAATTCCACCATTCCCAACATTGTTTGATATTCTGCGGTGCTTGGGCAATTGGCTGGTTAACAGCAGTTCCCTCTCTGGCCAATCAGATTGAAGCACCATGGTAGATTCAGCTATTAGAAGCACAGCCTTCAGTTCTTCCTACAGAGAGCAGAAAGAAGGCTGAATGCAGGCGCAGCCATTTTCTCCTACATTGGAACTCAATGGCCAAAATGGGTTTCCTTTGTTCCTAAAGGGATCTAAATCTTGATTTCATCAGCCTTTTATGGACTATTTAATACATACAGTGTTTCTGTTTACAGGATCTGAGAAGAAGGAAGATGAAATGTTGGATGATATCCCTTTGACATTTTTAAACTTTTTTTTCTCTTCCTGGAAACCATCTTTGTCCCAGCAAAATAGGTCATGGCACACCCATATAACAGCATTTTATTCTTTAGTAAAATGCTACTGAATAAACATTTTGCATTTGATTATATTATAACAAACTAGACTAAAAAGATTGAGACAGAGACAAAAAAAAACACATGAAAATTACCAACTGCTTTTAAGGCCCTGCCTTGTTCAGGGCCAAGCATTAATCAATAAGTAAGTTTATCTTCATTGTCTTTGCTTATTTAGCTGCAGAATAAATGTTTTATTGCTAATTAAACAGGCATTTGATGTAAACTGGCTGAATTTTTATTTCTTTTTAGTGCTCCCTACGTGTCATTAGTTTTGAGCAAAGCTTTGTCTTCAGAACATTCAGTTGCATGCTGTTCTTTTTTTTGTAATATCTTTAAAATATATTTAAATTGATTGCTTCTCACATTTCAGTAAACAAGGCAGGCCATAGAGAAAAAGGACGATTGGCCTTTTACAAAAATGCTGAATCACAGGTATGATTGATGGGGTTTGTGGTTGTTTTAATGCTCATCCTGGTTTTGCCTCACTTTTTTTTTTTTTTAAACCCTACAGTACTATTATCAAAACACATTTTTAAAAGTAAAATGATGTTTAAAGAAATGTGGAATTCACTTTTCTTTCATGACGTTTATATTGGGAATAGCGTATTCCTGATTTCTACAATGGAATGGAAATCCCTTTTGTCAATTGGTATTTTCAGTAAGTGAACACTCACTATATATCTGACCTTGCGCCAAGGGCACACTTTGGTAATTTCATACCACTATTAGTGTCACAGCGTACAGTTCATGCTAGAGGTAAAGTATAAATATCACTCTAAACATAAATAATTATTAAAACACTAACAGAGATATTTACCTTAACATTTTGTTGAAATAATTCTATCAGGCCTAAACGATGAAGAAACAGGGACGTTTTCATTCCCATCTTCGGATCCTTTAACACTGGCTTTAAAGAGGGGGTTGGGTTGCAACGCCTAAAAGGAAGAAAACGACAATAACCATTTTTCTGCCGTCGTTTTTCGACATAATTCACCATTTAACACACCTATCTGCGCAGTCTCCAACGAGTGGAGCTGCTGGAAATCTTGAGGCACTTTTAGATATTGAAATATGCAAACAATCCCTCTCGTGCTCTTCCTGAAGACAGAATGACGAGAGATTAACTCGCTCTTCATCATTCAGAAGACATAAAAATTCCTTTTTCTTTCCGAAGGTAATAGTTCATACGACCTTTTTTTGATGATAATGACTTGGGGAATATTCTGCCATTGTTTTAACAGGTTATAATAAAATCATATTTATCTTTAAAATTCATATTTTTAAAAATACAAGTATTGTTTTTCCTATTGGGATTGATTATAATTGTCAAAAAAAATAAACAGATAAAGGTGTAAAAAAAAATAATAATAATTGTTATAGACACCTCTCATTGCTGACCCATGTCCAAAGCGACCTCAGAAATAGCCTGTCGTTTAATGGCTTCTCTGTTGTTCTCATTTTCAACATGGCGTCTTCACAAGGACATCATTGTGGAGAAGAAAGGCTGCTGCCCGCGCCATTTATGGGCGAGGCTGTCGGTCGCTCTTTCAACTGATTCTGCCTTTGTACGTGGCAATCATTGCAAACACTAACTGACTAGATGTATGTGATCAGAGGGGCTCGCCGTTTGAAAAGCGAGGATATTGCACTAAACTCGCAGTAATATCTCGTGCGTAAAACGCGCCCTCGACGCCGCTGCTGCGCAAAGCGCTGGAAACCCTGTGGCACAAAAACACCCAGCAGTAATCTGAGTTTGGACGCTTGCCACGGGATATGACTGCACCCACCTAACCATTTAAGGTCGGAGAAAGACTCTCAAACACTGTGTGGCATTTCAATCAGCAAGTACAAAGGGAATATCCAGTCCTCTGTGCTCTCTCTCGTCCCCCTTTCGAGAACATTCGGTGCAGTTTATTCGCCAGCCATACAGAGGATCATTTGACGTGATGCATGCAGGATTGCGCACTACTTAGGTTTCTCAGATCTTCTGCTGAATATATCACACTGTTGCAACACATACCGGTATGTGGTATGCAGATTGTCGTGTTTTGCACAATTTATGGCTTTGTAATTGTGTATATGTAGCTTATTGCACAATACTAAAATGTGTAGAGAACGGGCATATTTATAACCCAACCATTGTATTTTGTAGTTTTTTTTTTTCACTTTCCCCTTCTTGTGTGCGACGCAAGTTCCAATTCATCAACCAGAGAATGGTAGCTATTGCGCAAGGAAACGCAAGACTTTCGCTTTTAGGATTCACGCTTGTTATTGCATGCACATCAATACGATTTTGTCTCTCTGCCATAGTCTAAAGTAGGACTGATGTGCGAATATTGCAGAAAAAAGGGACTGAAGACGTGACCACATCGTTTCCTGCAGGCTGAAGTGGGTCATGAGGCCATTTTATGGCACTCGTGTGTTTAATTAGGAAAATCCTCTTTATCTTCGTAACCTGAGAACCCAAGCTGTTTCTAACGCGAGGATAGAAGGGCAGAAAAGAAGTGCAGAGATCTCAGTCGACACCAGTGTTATCAAGTCTTTCTGTTTGTTACCCGATATGCAGACGTGTGCGTAAAGCTTAATTTGTGCTCTGGATAGCTGGAGTGGATCCTCGACAGATTTCGACATTCAGCTTCGCCATTAATAATATAACCTATGTTAGCTTTTTAGTTCTTGAAAGGACATTCTTGAAAAGTTCATTCTTGAGGCACTCTTTTATGTGTGATAGGCTACTTTGTATATTTTCATGTAATTTTTGTGAAGACTAGGAGACGTCTGAAATCTAAATTAGCCAACAAAAGGTTAATGACAGTAACGTGTAAATTCCATGTAATATTCCTTTTTTTTTTTTTAACGTCAATCTAATATTCCATATTAAATCTGAGGAAACACTCCACAGATCCAGGCGACGGTGCGCAATTGCATTTCTCACCATGGACAATTATTTTTTTGTAACATTTCACTTTAGCTTTTTTTTCTTTTCTTATTTACATAAAGATGGATTGTAACATATTTAACAATATGGTAAGTATATATACAAAGAGATGTTAAATATTTTTATATTGCAATAAATATAACTTCTTAAATTCATTAATGTCGTCTTGTATTTATTGACAGATTTTAGTTTTTTTCCTCATCTTCGCCTAATTAGCTGTTTCCTCGAAACGAAGCTGACGTTCTGTTGTAAGATTAATTTAGCCTACATTTTTATTATATTTCGCTGTGTGAACTGATTTATAACCGAACCAAACGGGCCCATATGGCGGGGAACGGGCATATCCGTTTATCGCTGCTGCTGTAGGCCGCTTTTGTCCTTCATTAATAGCTTAACGATGCTTTTTTATGTACCGTAACAATCCATATAAATGATTTTAGGAGAGCATGGTGGGTTTTTATAATTAATCTGAGTAATTCCTCTCCGTTGCCATGCTTGGAGCCAGTAAATGTTCAGAGTTCTGTGACAGAGACAGTCGTAATACGACGCCTCCTATCTGTGACTGAGGAATGAGAGGAGCAAAACAACCTTTTTCGAGTTTCTCATTGGCTGTGATGGTGTGGGGGATGCGATAACTGACACCCATTGGCTATTGGTAAAAGAAGTAAAGGTTTGTTATACTCGAACGAGGTTTTGCTTTGCTAAACGACGGCCTTTGCTGGTACTACATGGCTTCTCATATAATTAGTTTTATATTAAAGACAATCCATTTTCATTGAAATGTCACTGAGCAGACTGATTAAGTGCCATTTTAGAAGATGCAGTCCTTGGTATGCTAATTTATATAGTGTTTATGTTGTATTCATAATTTAAAAAAAGTTATGACAAAGTCATTTAAGAACAACAAAATATTAAGGAAATAAAGAGACATGAACTTAAAGCTTTATTTGTAAACAATATTAATTAATAATGACAACACACACACACACACAATCAGGTGTTTATTGCATCATAGCTGTTGCTGAATTGTGCATTTAGCACAACTGCAATGCTATTTTGACCATTTGGTATCCAGGACCATGATTATTATTATTTTTTAAAATGTAACAAATAAAGTATAAGGATTCAGGGCCCATAAACTTACGTTACTTTACTTATGTGCTACTAAAACATGATTCAAAATGGTCTCATATAGGTTTATCTCAAAATAATATATGCAAATCTTTTTAAAGTGGGAATTTGAATCATTTTGCATTTGACATTGTAACTCCATTCTTTTTAATGTTTTTAATAATACTTAATATTATTCAAACATATTTTAAATTAAAGAGTAAAATTTTAATAACAAAACTCTAAAGAGTAAAATTAAATAGTATAATTTGTACATTTATTTCGTTTTATTACTTTTTTTTGTAATGGGCAGGTTTATTATAGCTAACATATACTAAAACTAAAACCATAAAAAAATTGTTGTTACTTGAAATATAATAAACATTAACTACATTAAAATAAAGTATAAAAAATGTACTTTATTTTATTTCAGCTGGCGAGGCAACATTTCACATTTTCATTTGGTTCGACTTGATGGCCTTAACCCAAAACTAAAATAAATATTAACAAAAACTATATAGGAATATTAAAAATAACAAAAACACAAAACAAAAATTACAAATATAAAATTGTAATGAAAACAGAAAATACAAAAATAAAAACTATAATCAAAATATCTAAAACATGTGAAGATACTAAAATAGCCTAACATGTGTAATAGTAATACAATTAATAACACTTTTAGTTATGTAATTGTTATTAGTAACAAAGTCACACTCTTACATAATTCACTTAATTATCAACAAATTGCTAAAATAATCACTGCAATGATGTTTTTTGTAATATCATCTTAAGCATACCATTCAGAGCAACCTCCTGTCCCGCACCACCCTCTGTAGATGGGAGAATGTGAGAAAGTTTTCAAAGGACTGTCTCAATGAACATGTAGTTAGGAAGTCAACTCTCCTGACCGGCTGGAGGGAGTGCCTTCATGTACCCCGCCTAGTGATGGTGCAGACCATGTGTAGACTGGTATAGAAAAGAGTCACACAGCCTCAATTACAGTCACACGCTCTGATCAGGGGTTCTTGAAAACATAGTCACATGGTTTGAAATGAAAAAAAGGCGAGAGGAGGAGGAAGTTGGGACCGGATAGCAGCATGCTGACCTGGCAGAGTGTTAGTCTCACGTTATACTCACCCGCCACTCTCACCAATGAATTTACCTGACACTTCTGTGCACTTGGGCACCTGCTGGAGGAACTGACTTGGCCGGTGAGGCCCGCAAAAGGACATGACACAGAACGGCACTGTAGCCGGCAATGGCACTCAGACTGACTCTCTCAAAATTGTGATCGTCGGAGATGGGGGTTGTGGGAAAACATCTCTGCTTATGGTGTACGCCAAAGGAGATTTCCCAGAGGTAAGCTTTTAGATGATGAGGGGTTTTAGGTTGGCAAAGTACAAATTTGCTTTAGTTTTTGTGCGTGTGTAAGTAAACCAGATTTACTTTAGTTGTGAAGATAGTTACAGAAATAACCATTTTTAAGAGAAGGAAACATTGCAAAATGTATAAGAGTCATTTGCACAACATCCTCAGCCAGTTTTTCCACTCCCAGACAGCAATTTTGGTTTCTGCCAACGCCTTGATTGTACTTCAAATGTGTCTTGTAGAAACCTGAAATTTTATGCACCATCATCCATTGTATGCCTGTATTTGTCTAATTTTATGTTGAAAATCAACAGAAATATGCTCCATCTGTGTTCGACAAATATGTCACCACTGTATCCTATGGAGGGAAAGACATTCAGCTGAATCTCTATGATACAGCAGGTAAGTGTCTACAGACGCCACACACACCTCAGATTCCAAACACCCCATTCTCTACAGTGACATGCTTCATTGATTAACAATTTAGGCAGGAATGTTGAGTGAAATGGGTGTGAAACCATTAGTAATAGTTTTCTAAGCTGTAATCTCTGAGGTCAGGCCGCATACACACTTTGATCATTGCATGATTATCTAAATAATAATAAAAAAAAAAAATTGGCATTGTGTTCAATTTCATTTTGAATTATTTTGCAAAAAAAAAAATTTGTGCAAGATTTCTGTCCTCATTCATTGACATCTAAGACCATACTGTATGAATTACTTCCAGAATATTACAGTGAAATAAATGACATGTTAGCCATTGTGAAATATTCATATTCTAAGTATCACCCCAGTTTTTAAGCTGTGGCTTATTGGGCCAGAATCTGTTTGCGGATGTGGTGCAACATGCTAAAATCCACTACTCAATTTGTAACGCAGTTGTTACATTTGTGGATGAATACTGCATGTTTTTAAAAATTGTAATAATTGAATTAATTAATCATTTAAATGTAATACTTTGATTATCATTTACACTACTGTTCAAAAGTTTAGGGTCGGTGTGATTTATTTTTTGAGCGAGTATTTATTCAGCAAGGATGCATTAAATTGATCAAAAGAGAAAAGACATTTATAATGTTATAAAATATTTATTTTTCAAATAAATTCTGTTCTTTTGAACTTTCTATTCATCAAAAAAAATCCTGAAAACAAAGTATTATGGCTTCCACAAAAAAAACATATTCAGCATCCCTACTATTTTTAACATTTGACATCTGCTCATGTGACACTGAAGTAATGATGCTGAAAATTCAGCTTTGCATCACAGGAATAAATTACATTTTAAAATATATTCAAATAGAAAATTTTTATTTTAAATCATAATAATATTTCAAAATATTACTGTTTTTAATGTATTTTTAGATTAAACAAATGCAGCCTTGGTGACCATAAAATACTTTTTTTCAAAAAGATAAAAAATCTTACCGACCCCAAACTTTTAAACAGTAGTTTTTTTTGTTATATGTATATATATATATACGAAGATATTATTACAGAAAAAAAAACAGTTATAGTTGTTTTGAAGCCTCAAATTGATTGAAAATGAGATATTTGAGTTAGTCATATTCTAGTTTGTTTATAGTTCAAACATTTCAGAACTCTCCATTCAGGAACTAGGATATATTTTTATATTTTTACAGTGAATATATTGTCATAGAAAAAGGAAGTTTTATTTTTATTAATCACACTGATCATCAGACATTTTATACCTTATTTGGAATGTTCTCGTATTGATTTAATCGTCATTTACTCATTTACTGTCACTGACCTCGGTGAACCCCTGATGTCTATATAACTTGAATTTCTCCATGAGAAATTCTTCGAAATGTCTCTTTTGTCTAAACTGAACTGCATCTTTAGTAATCAAGCTGCTTATCAGACCCACACTGCTGCACGGACCTTCTGTGCGTCTCAGGAACAGGATGTTGAAGCCAGGATGTGGTTTTCTACCACATCTCGGTTTTTCGTCAAAATACTTTGTTCATAAAATATGACATACAGGAAGATGCTGTATATGGTCAGAGGTCTCCACCTCCTCGGCTTCAATGACTTGTTTAGAAGCGTCGCCAAAGAAACAGTCCACATAATGCAGCGCTGTTTTCAGGTATCAGTGTGATTAAAATGACGTCATTTCCTTCTAATCTGTTTATTGACAGGCCAAGAGGACTATGACCGCTTGAGGCCTCTGTCGTATCAAGAAGTAAACCTTGTTCTCATCTGCTACGATGTGACCAATCCGACGTCGTTCGACAATGTCACGATAAAGGTGAAATAATTTGCCTTCAGTTGAGTATGAAACCGAAGTGTTCATCAGGTGAAAGTCTGTTTTAACTTTGTTTGTTAGCAACTGTGAGCTGATACACTTTGACCTGAACAGTAGATGATTACAGATGGACCTCCTCTGAAAACAAACAGTATTTCTTTGCAGCTTCCTGTCGTGTCAGTTCAGAGGAATGTGTTGAGCCCTGTTTAAATAAAGACACAGCAAACTGTTCATTCATGGCCTAAAGATAGATACAGTACACCATTACAGCATTAAGGAAGACCAGAAAAAGTATTTATATAAAAGAAGAAGTTCAGTTTTAAACGTTTTTTTTCCATCTTCCCCTACAGTGGTACCCAGAGGTCCGTCATTTCTGCCGTGACGTCCCCATTGTCTTGATAGGGTGCAAGACGGACCTGCGAAAGGACAAAGAGAAGACGAGGAAGCTCAAAGCTTTAGATCTGGCGCCCATTACCTACCTCCAGGTTGGCTTTACATTTACATTCATTCATCTGGCATCAGACATTTGACTTACAAAATAAAGAACATCACAAGCCCTCAGTCTCATAAATACAAGTCATATTGGGTTAAGTTTGTTATTTTTAATGCTACTATATATTAAATATATTCAATGTGAAAACAGTCATGCTGCTTAATATTTTTGTGGAAACTGTGACTTTTTCTATCTATCTATCTATCTGTCTGTCTGTCTGTCTGTCTGTCTGACTGTCTGTCTGTCTGTCTGTCT